ATGGAATAAAGTCAAAGAAAAATTCCTTCGATGCGGCTGGACTTAAACCAGCGACAATTTCAACTAACGCGAGCTATCGCTCTCCCAACTGGGCTACGAAACGTGTCAGCAGACCTTACGAATTTCTCTATGTGCAAATCAGCAAATCTTTGTTAGTTTAGCGCCACCGGTGAGAAAATTATGAAAGTATTTTTTCACTCAGCCAAGTACCTTTACAGCTATCGGCGGCTGACAAGAGATGTCGCTTTTTATTAATTGCAGTATTTATGTGTGTACATTTTGTGAAAGTAGTACTCCACCAGTCGGTATAATTGATACATAATTCTTAGTAGCAGTAGAGTTCATTGTGAAAGAGTTCGTCCAGGGAAGTACTGCCACCTTGCCTATTTTTGCATTCAAGCAATAATGTGAGCATTACTGCATTTCGGCTTTGAAAGGTGTTGAAATTACAGGCACATGGGACTTTTCAACTTATGTCTCAGTGGCAGTACACATCAGGTCAAGCTCAGAGCGATTTAAAACTCTGAGCGGCAGGATCTGTTATGGACAGGCGTGTCACTTATTACCAGGCGACTTGAGCGTCCGTCCCGTCGGTCGCTTGATATCATAAAAAAGTGTAGACGCTTGAAATTAACAATGTGATTTATTTTTTTAATTTTTAGATATTTGAATGCATGCGACAGATGTCGTGCTACAAAAGAACAATAGTATCTTTCGTGAAGAAACAGTACACCAAAATTTCAAAAAAACAATGCAAGATGGTTATTTTAAGCGACCTCTCTTTCGATACGGTATGAATCTGCTTTTTGTATTGTATCTTAGTTTTTTTTTCATTAAGTTATCTACTTATCGGGTAGACAAGATAATGTACAGCAGATTCTTATTTCATACGTATCTATAGAAGGGTCGCTTAGGTTTTCATGTAGTCATCATTATTGTGTAGACTTTGGCTTTTGCCGCGAATGTGAAGATTGGACTTGTCAGCATGCTTATCAGTGGCAAAGCATGCTCACAAGTGCAGTGCAACCTTAATACAAACGAAAATCGATATTGCTAAAACCTATGTGATTGAAACTTAACTTCGATCGTGGAGAAGTTATTTCTTACAATTTACGCAACAGTTGTCAAAGTTATCGGTGCGTTTAAAATATTCAAAAAATATTTCCAAGGATTTGTCTCTACCTTGCTTGTCATTTTGTTTATAATAGGGGTTAAGTATAAAATTGCCGTTTCGTACTGTAAAATTAAAACAACATTTTTTGTATAATTATATAATTATATTTTTATATAATACAAAGATCGAACACTCAGAAAAAATTCCTTCGATCCGGTCGCAGCGAAGTTAATTCTTTCTGAGTGTTCGATCTTTGTATTAATATTTATAACAAACTAGTGGAGTAATTTCACAAAAATTAATTGAATATCAATTCAATAAAAATTTAATTAACATTTTTTTTTATTAAGATAAAACATATTTGTTTAATCAAAGTGCTTAACCTCGTTGTCTTATACATTTCTACCACATAATCGGAAGAAGAACTCTGGGGTCCTGGACTTCACAAGCAATATCAAGCCATTTTGTACTGCTTCCTGGAAAAAAATTTTTTTCCGAGCTAAAAATAGTCCAAATCGCGGAATAAATGGTAGTCGGTTGGGGCGAGATCCGTCGAGTATGTAGGATGACGGATGGTTCCTAATTGCAGGTCTTGTAGTGTTAAAACTGTTTCTCGAGCAGTGTGAGATCTTGCGTTATCACAGAGCAATAGTGCTGAAGCTGTTTTGCTGCGAGTTTCGCCGTCATTGTTCAAATGCCATAATTATGTCATATTGTGGGTACGCTAACATTAAACCATGCCGCTAATTCCTTGGAACGGGTCGGCTTCCATCATCACCTTCAATTCACCGTTATTTACCTTAGTGACTGCTCGTCCTCGTGGTTCATTTTTCATTTTGAGCCGTATCCTCTTCTAGCATGACGTTACTAGCTATTTCTGCTGCGTTAACCACATGTGAGAACACGAATTCGAAAATTACTCTGATTTTCCCTGTATCCATTTTCACGATAAAAGTTGAATGTAAAAACAATTGAAAGTTCGAACAATCAAGTATCATGTTTTTTAAGTTAAGAAAGGTTAGTTTTCGTGTGAAAAAAGTTTCACTCTGAAATCTGACACGATACCTACAGGTTTCATTTTAATTCAAAGTGGCCAGTACGATAAATCGGCAATTTCATATTTAAACCACTATTATTTGGGACGAATTAAGGTTTTTTTTATTATAATTGAAACAGACATTTTGTTTTTCAAAATTGTTTATAACGAACTTAAAGGTTCATTTTTTTAAACGTTCAGATTTTTTTAACAGATAGGCATCGATGAATTTGGCACTGACTGTAGCGTTGTTTTATTATGTATAAACAGGTTATATTTTATTATGTATAAACGCGTTCCATTCAAACATAATTGCCCTTACAAGTAGTCATTAACGTAATCCACCATTGTAATATTTCATAGTGCTTATGTAAATTGACGCTATCGAATGCATTACAGTAACTTTACGTAGATTTTTTGGCTTTATTTCTTGGTTTTTTGTTGTTATTAGAAATATATGTGATGTTTTACGAGACAATATAGGAAAATTTTTAGTACTGGCTTTTGTACATTTTAATTTAATTATTTTTGTCGGAGTTTAACGAACTAATTGTGGGATTCACGGACATGATTATCGTTTGTAAAGAATCGTAAGCCCATATTCACAACTTTACAGGGGAACGTTTTAATGTATTCAAAGGACTAAAATAAGCCTAACACTTGAGATTTTCAAGGTAATAGCAATGGAAGTTGTAATTGATACATTGGAAGTTAGAATGTATACATTTCGACGACCTCTGCGCTGTGCTCGAGTGGCTTGCTCTCGAGTGGCTTGGCCCGGATTCGGTCCCCGGCCGGGTCATTGTAGAAAACTAACTTATCTATATTGTTTCGGGTGACAGTGTTTGTGGTACGTTGTTTCCGATTTTCATAACACACGTGCTTTGGTGACTTACTTTGGGATCAAAGCTACGTATGGGATGTCGTCTAATAATTAGATATTATTTAGAATAACAAAAAGTTTAGAATAACATTTTATTAAATAAGAAACAGATTCATGAATTTGCATAGTAAATCAGCACTAGGCTTCATCAATAGGTACTATAACACAAAAACTGCTATTACAAGAGATTTTGTAAAAAAATTCCGAAACCGATTTTGTAAAAAAACTTATTACCAATGGTCGGAAAAAGGTGTTCCACATGTATAGATACATGTATGGATATAGCTACAAGGAGCGACATAGAGTTATTAAAACCACCAAATATTAATTAGTAACTTTTTCGAATTCCGGATTTCCGGAAATGGTTTTACTGCATCGTAAAACAAAACTACTGACTTAGGTAGTCGAAGTTGGATTTTAAAGTAATGGTGCCATGTAAAAAAATGCAGTGCCTGACCTTTTACCAATGCAAAGAATAAAAAAGTAACGAAAAGTCACTATCCGCCCCTCCCTAGCTTTAGATACCGCACTGCGCCCCGCATATTGATAGTCATATTGACGAAACGGCATCAAGGCTGTCAGTTATCATGGCACCAATAGAATTACTTTAAAATCCAACTTCGACTTCGTTGGGCAGTAGTTTGTCCTACGATACAGTAAAATCATTTCCGGAAATCCGGAATTCGAAAAAAAAATTAAGTAATATTTGGTGGTTTTAACAACTCTATGTCTATACAAGTATCTATATAATAATATGTGGAACACATTGACTGACAAATAAATGAACGACGGGTCTAATACAAAAACCACGAAAAAAATGTCCCAAGTCCTAAACCTAGTATTTAAACGTAGTGACTTGTAAAGGAATATGAAAAAGCTGAAACGTTGAATTTAAATTGTAATATCATCGCAATACTGTCTAATTTTGCTTGCTTCGCTGTCAGTCGAACAAACGAAGACTAAAGCGTGAATGACGCTCTGTATACGATTTTAACGCCCTATAAGTTCGGACATTTTTTGGGCCCACCCGACGTCCATATAATTGTAAGTCAATGGTGGAATACCTTTTTCCGACTTATGCTTATTAAATACATATGTTTTATAATTAGTTTTATATTTAGTAATAAACTGCACGAAAAGCTGTTTATTTATTATGCCGTTAACTATAGCGGTATATTGAGTTGAAATTCTTCAAATGTTGGGTGATACTGCCTAAGATCCTGTAGGATTAACGCTGCCCCAACAACAAAGGAAGTTCGTCGGGGATATTGCAATTACGCGTAACTAGCGTTGGATTATGAGTTTCCATTTCGGTAATTTAGTGGCCAAATCAAATACGCGTAAATGTCGTTGCAACCAAATTAAATCTATTGTTATCATTAGTGCTTACTGTGCAAAATTGAAAGTCGTAGCCATTGAAATAAGAAAGTAATAACTTAAAATCCCTCTCCTGTACAATTTGGTTTAGTTCAGATATGCGCCTTTTACCAGTGCTACATAAGCGGATTTGCTCTATCCCCGACGATATGTCTTTTACAAACTGTCAAGTTTATTGTAAAAAATTGTCATGAGAGCTATTTCAGTTAATTGCACTCGCGTAATCATCGTGTATACGATATAAGACAATGAGAGACTCTGTCTTCTGTTAAGATAATTTATTTAATTGAAAATGAGGATTAAATGAAACTATTTTTCCGGATTTAAATCGCGTAAGTATATTTGTTTTTCAAACAAACCAACGTTTCGGGCCCTTTACAGGTCCCATGGTCACGGTTGACTGAGACTTCAGTCTCAAAAAAAAAAACAACAGTTTGTTGAAACAAACGTTTTTTTTTTTTTGAAAAAACAAATGTACGCGATTTAAATCCGGAAAAATAGTTTCATTTCCCATGTGTAACAATCGCGAAAACCTAGGAATTAGAAATGAGGATTGAATTCATATTATGACTATTTTTGTTTTGTTTCAGGCGGCGTGCGCTTTAAGCGTGCGCGTGGGCAGTTACAGCGATCCCCCCGACATCCAAGGCTTAGCGCATTTTGTTGAACACATGGTGTTCATGGGCAGCGAGAAGTACCCCACGGAGAATGAGTTCGATTCATTTGTTAAGGTAATTTTGAACATAAAATTGCGAAGGTTAGGTGGGTTTAAGTGAAGTTTTTATATATAATTGTTTGGTCGTCGCGACACGTTAACTATAAAATTATTTTTTCGGATTTCAAATCTACGTTTTTGGACTCTTTACAGGTTCTGAGGTGAAATGAAATGAAATTAAATGTTGCTTTCTCATCACAAACAGGCTTACGAGTAAAGGACCTTATAGGTTATAACAAGGTCAAGGCTGACTTTGTTGAACCGATTAAAGATGAAAAAAAAAAACGCTTACACATTTGAAACGTTAAAACATGCTTTTTATCCGACTGTAAAAAAAGGAGGTTCTCAATTCGACTGTTTTTTTTCTAAGTATGTCACGCGGTAACTCCAGCTAACTATTTGTGAACCTATTTTGAGGATTTTTGTTTTTTGTTGGAAAGGGGGCGATCTAGAAAAAACTTGGCAAATAGAATTTTACGAACTTTTGAGGTCGGTTTTTTTAGTACTCTGTACTGAGATTGTTTAAGTAAGCATGCTTAAACTCACTTAAACTCTTTTTTTATAACAAGTTGTGCGCCTGGTGGTAAGCAACATGTCTATCCATAACATTTGCAGTGCCACTGCGCCCGTCACCCTAAGACATATGTTGACGAATCCCATGTGCCTGTAATTTCACCAGTACCCTTACCCTTCCAAACTGGAACGCAGTAATGCTCACGTTACTGCTTGGGGGCAGAAATAGATAAAGTGGCGGTACTTCCCCGGACGAACTCTTTCAGAAGGAGTTCTACTGCTATTTAGTTTGAAGCTTACAAAATCGTTTCGAAAAACGTTTAAGCCCGCAAGCTTTATGTTAAAAAAGCTTGCAACATTGTGTTTATAGCGAAAACGAGAGTAAGTTTTCAGATATGTAAGTTTATTTGTAAAACGCGAGTTTTATGACATTTTTTACATTTATAGAATTAATTTATTTAGGAAACATATGTAGATGATGGGACTTGATTTTTAACTTTTGTAAAAAATTAAATTGTTGAGTATTAAACTGAGCAACGCAATCGAAAGACTCGTTTTATCCAAATTTAAATACACTTCCAAAAACATTAGCTCATTTCCTGAAAGTTGACTTTATTATTGAGTGTACATAATCCTAGGTAAAATATAGTTGTAGTCCATTTCTATTTTTGATCTCAATTTTTATGTATGTAAAACTGCCTGTGTGGTCGAACGGTTACCATGCTGGGTTGCCACGCAGAGGTCCCGGCTTCGATTCCTGCGCCCCGGCCAAATAAAGGCCTACATTTATTTCTCTCGTGAGTTTGGGTATAATTTGTTGTTCTATTATGATTGACTTCTTTATTGTCCTAAATAAAAAATAAATAAAACCATAGTGAAAAATTTAAGAACGCATATTTCATATTGACCGCAAAGTTATTTGGAGACTTAAATGTCGCCGGGACCTTGACCGATACAGCCATTCATCACGTGCGAAGGTTACTGTGATTTCTAAAGTCATTGAAAATTGTGCTTTCCCTTTGTTTGAACAAAAACGTATTTAAGAAACGAAGTTCACTGGCGTACGTCTACGAGAGCTTACGCAATTATCGCAATGCCAAATACATTGACTGCATTGTATGTAACTTCAATGTTAAATATAATGCGTGTAGCTATGTATTTTACATTTATGGAACAACCTACGGCAGCTGTAAAGCCGTGAACTGTATGTTTAGTTTGTAGTAGTTTGTATGTATATTTAGTGAATTTTAATAGCAATAGAGGTCCTTGTGAGAGTTAGTCCAGGGAAGTACTGCCACCTATTTCGACCGCCAGGCCCTAATGTGAGCATTACTGTGTTCCAATTTGGAAGGGTAAGGGTGCTGGTGAAATTACTGGCACTTGGGACATGTCAATTTATGTCTATTGCAACTACATTGAAGCTCTGAGCGGTACTGCAACTGTTATGGACAAGCGTGTCGCTTACCACCAGGCGCACGATTTGTTGGTACAGTCATTTTGTATCACTAAAAAAAATGGTTTAAATGTGTCATCGGTTTAATTTATACACCGATTACCTGCTTTATTCATTAACTATGAAGGGCATTTATTATGAAGGGCAGTTGCACCATTGTGCTGCATGAGGCTGCCGATTGTACCTTTCAGTGTGTTCTCGAGTTATTAGGTTTACGCGATTGTTACATATATATAAATAAAAGCTATTTTTTATAAATGTTAATCGCGTATGCTGTTTCTTTTTTTCAAACAAACCCTTATAGCTTTCATGGTCTCGACTGAGATGTTAAAGCAGCCTTCGCCTTAGAGCGTATGCGCAATGTTCCAAATCCGAGACCATACAAATCTAGAGAACTCGGACCAACTTCGGATGTCGCTTGTGTACTAAGTCCGATTCGAGTACTAAAAAAACCGACCTCAAAAGTCATTCATCCCCTTGTTTGCCACCCTTAGAGGTGGAATATTTTCTTAAAATTTAAATAGGACCACACCTTCTTTCAAAAAAAAATCAAAATCGGTTCACAAGTGCCGGAGTTACGTAACGTAAATTACTCACGAAAAGAACACAGTCGAATTAAGAACCTCCTCCTTTTTTTAAGTTAAAGATACTAATATCGCTTGGACACCTACAGATAAAATGATATCTGTGCCATTTCGGACTGTCATTTCTCAGATTCGGATCTGATACTAATCGGACGTTGTGCGCAAACGCTCTTACTCTTTGGTTAACATCACACACAAAACAATAAATGTTAACATTAAATGTATTTTAATACAGAAAAAAGGAGGCGCAGACAACGCATCAACGGATTGCGAAATGACAACTTTCTACTTCGAGATACCGGAGAAGCACTTGCCTCAAGCAATGGACATGTTCAGCCAATTCTTCGTGAGCCCGCTCATGTTGAAGGAGTCCATGCAACGCGAGAGAGAAGCCATCGAATCGGGTAAGCTATTTACTGTCCACCGTAGCTATTATTCATTGTCTGTATGAAAGGACCTCGTCATGAAAAATTGCCTTGCATTGACATTATCATAATATTGAAAAAAAGGAAGTCCTTGAATTGACTTGCATAATTTAATGATATCGCTGCTTTTCATGAATAGTAAATTGAAATTACAAGTACATGAGACTGGTCAACTTATGTGTCAGGGTGACGGGCGATGTCACAGTGCGCCTCAGATCGTTGTAATTTAAAGCACTGAGTGGTACTGCAACTGTTATAATAATTAAATAAAAATAAAATGCACTTATTTTCAGACAACATAGTCATTATTAAGTCAACATAGTCAACATTAGTAAGTTAGTAACCATCAGCATATAACCAGAAATAGAGACGAAATGTCATTTAATTTGTTTGTTTTTAAACTATTCTGCTAAATCATTACGGTGACAACTGCGCTCCGATTGGCCAGCCTGAATTAGAAACAATTGGCGGGTGTCGTCAATTGTTTTACTTCCAAAGGACCAGTTTAACTTGAGCTTTGCTATAATAGACGAAAATTGAAAAATTACACATTTAATAATTAATTACCGATGAATTGTGATTCCGTTTGTTTTGTAATAAGATGTTTTGCTGTGGAACAGCCGCATGGAACATCCCCCCGTAGTTAGAGATATTGCAATAAATACAGAACATTTTTGAAACATACGGAGACGTACACACAGGTCGCTTGTTGGCGCTGTACTATGTCACCTTTCTAATTTGTGATTTCAGTGCAAACAAGAGTTGATATTTAAAAGTGATATAAGGCCCGTTTGTCTGAAGTGTTGATAGGATAGATGGACCTTACTTCGTTTCTATTTCTGGTTATATACTCGATGTTGTAACATAACACACCTTATAGCTATGTTAGTATTAGTACAGTCAGTCTGCAGGCTGACAAATTACATATAAGTACATCAAACTAGATGAACCCAGCCCACAGCGTACTCACAGGTAAAACATGTAACTCAGAGAACCTCCGGAACACTGTTGCTTACCAATAGGCGTACGACTTATTCATCCCGTCACTCGGCATCATAAAAAAAATAATTATGTGTAATAGGAACTTCTATTTTTAGCATTTGAATAATGAATCGTATAACATTTTTAATCATCAGTCAAGAATTATGATTTACCTTGTTTACAAGTACGCTTCTTCTACAATTATGACGCACTTTTTGTATTTAGGTACTTTTTTATCATAATAGCAAAAAGTATTTCGACACCATGAACTAATGAACAAGTTTCATAGTACCACTGGTTTACGTAAGATGACGTTGGCCCGTTTGTCACTGTTGGGCGTATTTACAATAATATATTTACATAACCCAATTCAGAATTTCCTGTTATATATTGTAATATAATATATAATAAATATAATAAACTGCCTCCGTGGCCGAACGGTTACCATGCCGGACTGCCACGCAGAGGTCCCAGGTTCGATTCCCGGACCGGGAGAAATATTTGTATGGCCTACATTTATTTCTCTCGTGAGTTTGGGTGTAATTTGTGGTTATCTATGTGTGTGTCCATGGCACCCGCGACACAGGGTTTCCATAGTGCGGGGCTATGTTGATTGTGAGCGTTATTATTTATTTATTTATCCTTTCCGGAATGAAACAAAAAAAAAAAATATTCGTTTTCGTCGGGGGTGCAATTACCAATGGTCGGAAAAAGAGGTTCCACACCAACACCTCGTACGTAAAGTATGGTATGTAGAAATTGCCTAGTTTATAGGGGAGTTTAAAAGTTCTAAATTCACTGGAGTGAGCATAACACGTGACTTTAGCATTTCTCTGTTTTATTCTGCAAAACAAGTTACTCACATCGTGTATTATAAAATTCTAGATATCGGTTAGATGGTCTATGATAATCTATTAGATGATCACTCTTTCAGTGAATTCAGAACTTTAAAACGCTCCCCTCAAACTTGGCAATTGCGACCTACGATACTTTACGTAGGAAGGGTTGATATATGATACATGTATAGACACAGCTACAAGAATCGACATATAGTTGTTAAAATCACCAAATATGAATTAATTACATTTTTAATTCCGGTTTCCCGGTAATGGTTTTACTGCGTCGTAAGACAAAAGTACTGACCTAGGAAGTCGAAGTTGGATATTACAGTAATTCTAATGGTGCTGGTGAAAGTAATTTATTAGTATTTGGTGGTTTTAACAATTCTAAGTCGCTCCTTGTAGCTATGTCTATATATGTAACTATACATATATGTGGAACACCTTTTTCGACCATTGGTAATGACATACAAATCGTATTCCTAGTATGTCTGGCTCACCTTAGGCAACAATCGGCTAGTACGTATTCCGATTGGCAAATTCTTTCACCACGATGGCAAACATATCCCATGCACAGTTCAACATGGCGGCCACTTATGGCGTGATCAGCGTGACTACTTAGCCACGTTATCGTATCGATAACATACACTATATTATCGTGGCAAAGAACTATCTTTGTTTTCGTCAAAATTGTAAGTTGCATCCAATAGAGTTGTAAAACACAATATGTGACTGATAGGCTGCAGAAATGACCGGATCGAAGGAATTTTTTCTGAGTGTTCGATCTTTGTATTAATGATTACAACTGTATTTGTATTAAAGTATAATTATAAAGAATGATAGTTGACTGCAAACTTTCAAAATGAAAATGAAAAACTTAGTGTAATTTTGAATATATCTACAAATAAATCAGAAGTTGAATGAGTTTTATTGTTACGAATTTTTCCTTCTTTCGTGTCATATCCTATTCTCTTTGCGATACCGAAAAATCTCTTTAAAAGTGTACCGTTAACAATCTAAGTTTCTGGCTATACGTCTAACTTATAGGCAGGAATTTGGTCACACAACTTACTTATTTCAAAATGGCCCCCTTGTATAACAAATACTTATACGTGAGGCGCACTGTAAGTTTCCGGAATGAATATGAAAAAATACTATAAATGGTCAGAAATGAATTTATTGTTTCTCAAAATATTTTCCGTTAGCGTTAATGCACTTTTTCTTACGAATGAACCAATTTTGAAAACATTTATGCCACTGCTCCGTGATAATCTCGGAAACATATTTTTCATACCCTTCGACAGCCTCTTCAGGTAATGAAAACGTTGACCGCGTACCTGGTTCTTAATTTTTGGAAATAAATAAAAGTCACAAGTTGCCAACTCGGGACTTTACGCGGGATGGCTCATAAGGTCAACGTTGTTCACCTTCAAAAATTCGTTTGTCTGTCAGGCAGCGTGAAAACTGGCATTATGGTGGTGCAAGATGATACGGCGTTTACGGTTATTTTTACGGAGTTTGTCAATAACTTCCGTCAAACAAATGGTCGTGTACCAATCACTATTCACGGTACAACGATTCTTCAAATCAACAGTAGCCACGTGTCCAGTTTTATTAAAAAAAAAGAAATCATCCACACAATGTAAAAACAAGTGACAGTCAGATGAAACAAACTGTATTCTACAGCCAAAGAGTTCCATTTTCAAATGTTGTAATTACTTTTTAAACATTGTTTATGTAAGTGGCCAATTCCGGAAACTTATAGTGCACCCTATGTAACAAATCGTCGTATTGTATCAACACACAGTGGTTAATGATCATAATTCACAATATCATTTTGTAATGATTTAAATTATACATTCGGTAACAATTACCTAACGTAATAGCACGTACGTGTATGTGTAATTATTACTCTCAACATAAATGTTATCATTCTGTCTCTGACAATATTGCGAAACTTTTTTGTAAACTTCATTCAATTTCGTATTCGAATTCATTACGTGCCGTTTGGTTCACGATACTGATATACATATAATACAGTATAGTCCGCATCTTTTTTATGAATGAATCTCGAATCTATCGCATACTATAATGTTTATGCGCAGTAACTAAAAATTTATATGATTATGAACGAACCCTGTTAGGATCAAAGCATAGGACATATTTTAAGAGATGGCACAATTGTTTCTACTAATTCAAATTTATAATAAAAGAAGATCGTCTCTGTGTTAGAAGATCGTCTCTGTGTTAAAATTATCGCTTAAAATAGTTTGAGTTAACTTTTCAACAAAGACTTGTCGTTAAAACATTCCATAGTGAAACCTGAGATTCAGCAAGTATTATTATCAAAATGCAAGACTTACGTAAGAAGTTAAATGAAAATAAGAAAGTGCAACGCTCTGCATTTGTTTACTACTAACCAAGCCAAAACAGGAGTAAACTATTGAAGCTAAGTGAAAAATAGTGACTAAGTAAGAAAAGTGCAGTGTCCATAAACTATATAAAAGTAGTTTGCAACTTATTACAATTTTATAACCAAAAAAAAATTACAAAGAAACTGCTAGAACAATTGTCATTATATTGCGTGCAACGACATCTCGTGTCGAGTAGCAGAACTAACACTACAACATTAATAAGTAAAAGCAATTTCAAACTATCTTGGTAAAAATACGATAGAGGTCTCTGCTCGTGCTTCCGTCGTTTTCTAGTATCTACAAAAGATGGAGTTATGTGAAGGATGTAGGCAAAATATCCCCGATAGAAGATTTCTTGTATGTTGTTATTGTGACAAACACTACGATCTGGAATGTGCAAATGTTCCCGAGGCGCGATTTTATAATACCATGTCACCTAATAGAAAGAAAACTTGGAAATGCCAGGCATGTATTTGTAGGGCTCCAAAAAAAGATAATTCCAACACACCAATAAGACCTACGTCACCCGTTTTGTTAGATACATTTGTCACAAAGAGGAATAAACAAAAAAAGACAGAAGCGGCCCCAATAAGACACTTAAACCAGACAAAAGATTTTGACCAGTCCATTAGTGAAATATGTGATGATACGCAAGTGATTCCATCTGACAGCCGCGAGAAACAGCCTCTTAATTTGGATATGATAGGCGAACTACTTGACACAAAATTGGAGCAGATTAAAACTA